TCCTGGTCTAGGCATAAAACTTCTTTGACCAATTGGCAACAAAACTGTAACTGTTTAAAGTTTATTTGACATAAGTTTGAACGATATAAATAATATTATATTATTCAACGAACATTATAATAGCCACACTTTTATCTATGGAATATTATTTTTATTATTTATAACATAAAAACAATATTAACATTAATTTATAGCTAATTACAATTAAATATTCATTATTTATGTTGATAGTTACATTTGAACAATTTGTTAAGTTAATTGCAGGATTACAATTAACGTCTAAATTAATATTCCGATTAATTGTAGAAATGCTTTGATTGCTGACAAGAGTTATAATTACTTACATGTATGGAGCTCGATATTTTTTTAGCTGTATCTGTTTTGTTTCATATGGAGTCGTCTTATGTAATGTAGCCTTTAGCTACTGTTAATAATTTTATAAATAAATATTTTGCACTGAAAATTTGACTACTAATAAAATGAATAAAACTTACAATCATATTATTGCTTAACATTTGGTGAGTAGTAATAAAAATAAATGAATAAAGATTATTCACCACTAATAGTGCATAATATGTAGCATTTTAATACAAAAATAGGTTCATTTTAAAACTCTCGTCGACAAAGATAATTTTCAGTAATACTAATAAATTAGAACCAATCTACTAAGCACTTTAACTTCTACTATTTAGATATATCTGAAATAATTATGGCAACCGGTTTCTGAAACCTCCATTTAGGTGGTAGCTTAATAACGAGGAAAGAGGTTTGCCTTGGACCTCATTAGGCCCATTGTGCATCCTCTAGGGGCATATAGGACCTGCCTTTCAATTTGTCAAAAACTTGCTGGTTGTTACTGAGAGGTCTACAGAGACAGCCATCTTCCCTATTCATCAAAGGCCTGCAGGTTATCAACTTGCCAAAAACCTGCTAGTTGTCGCTGAGAGGTATCTAGGGGGAGCCAGCCTACCTGATCTTCAAAGTCCTGCAGGTTAGTAACTTACAAAAACGTGATGGTTGTCTCTAGAGGGTGTCTAGGGAGTAGTTTTAGGTGGCTATGCTAGGGATAATCAGCCTCACAGGTCAAAGTTTTGCAGATTCATAACGTCGCCTCTAAATGCCCCATTTTTGAAAGTGGCCACCCAGATGCTAATTGCCCGGGTGAGGGTGTTGGTAGATTGGTTCCCAGCAGGTAATAGATTAAAAGTTTGTACCTAATAGTTGTTATCAATTTGTAAATTGGTTTCCAGAACAAAAAGGGACAACGTTAAATTGGTTCCCAGTTTGTAATATGATTAGAACAATAAAAGGGGCGTATGTCAACTTGGCCACTTTTACCTAAAAATTTGTTGACAAACCCCGGATAAAAGATAAGTATTTTTAGACAGGTAGTTTAAGTAGAGTAATTAGGTTTGTAATACGATTAGAATGGGTAAATCTGACTTAAGACATGTATAAAGAAGATCAACATTTTCAGTCTTCAGTTAATTATATAGAACAGCAGTAGCTTTCACTTGTGTTTGAAGTTGTTTTTATTAATTTCCGCAATACATCCTGAAATTATTTTGAGCGAACGAGAAAAGCAGCTATTAATTTTAGATAACCATAAGTATGGTTTTCAAAAGTTTCTGAAGAGTTGCGAGAAGACATGGACCACAAATAGAAAGTGCAAATCATTCGTCCTTACTTTGGGCGAAGGTGAAAACATAACAGTAACAAAACATATTCGAGAACATTGTCATGATGTCATTGTGGAGAAATTAAATCGCCAAATCTTAAATTCTGCCTGCAAATGAAAAGCTATGGAGGACTTATCTGAAAAACCTTCCAAGATTATTCGTAGGATACTTCAAGAAAATCTTCCATCCAGTATAACCACATCTGATGTTACTTGCGTTAGAAGAAATATTTGACTTCCTGGAACAGGAAAACATTCAAACCAATAGAGGTGAGCCGTTTCTACTTATGAACAACAGTATTGAACAGATATTAATATTTTCATGCAAGTCTAAATATTGGAATTACTGTGCGCAATATTTCTGCCAATTTTTTACGATACATGGATATTGTAATTATAATATTATAATACATTCCATTAATTTTTTCATTGTTGTCTGATAAAGGCACAAAAACTTATAAAAATCTATTTAACTCAGTAATAAATATTTGTAATGATAATGGTGTAACATTAAAAATTTCAAAAGTTGTTATTAACTTTGAGAAAGCTATCATAATGCTTTTCCCCCAGCAGAAATAATTGGTTGCAGATATCATCTTGCCCAATCATGGTATAGAAAAATTCTGCAATGCGGCCTGATATCGGAATGTAAAACATATTCAGAAATTGGTAGTTGGTTACGTATGACTTTTTAACAGACTTTAAAAAAGGAGGAGGTTCTCAATTCGTCGTAATATTTTATGTATGTTCAGCGATAATTCTTTAACACGGTGTTCGATTTCCATAATTCTTGTTTTGTTAAAAAGGGGGTACTTTAGGGGTGGTCCCATATCAATTTGGTCAAAATCTAATAATTGAGCCCATTAGAAAATCCTCAAACTTTTAATTTTTTATGTATGTTTAGTGGTAATTCTTTACAACCTTGTCCGATTTCTATGGTTCTTTTTCTTAGTAAAGGGGTAACTCAGGGGTAGTTCCATATAAATTTGGTCAAAATCTAATAATTGGGTCTATGAGAAAATCCTCAAACTCTTCATTTTTTATGTATGTTTAGCGATAATTCTTTAACACATCCGATTTCTGATTCTTTTTTTGTTAATAAGGGGATACATTGGTTAAGATGTTGTGATGCGCGATTTTGAAGTCGGTTTTTTAAAATTACTTTTAATACTTTTGGACTGACATTTTTAAGTCCTGACAAAGTTAGTGACTGTTTTGTTTTTGATTTGGTTGCAATAGAGGCCAAAATGTTCAAAAATATTCCGATTATTTGACAGATAATTATTTATCAGACGAAGCTCTTTTCCAACCTTTCCTCTGGGCTCGGAATTCGGCTGAACTTACACAGACAACTAGTGCATGTGAATCTTTTCACAAACATTTTAATGCATCTTTTTATAAAGCGCATCCCAACATTTAATTTTTTTTTGGAAAAACTAAAAGTTTCAAATGCAAAGCATCGATATCACGGATAAAATACACAATAGCAAAGTTAAAAACCGCCAAAAGTGTATAACAAAAATGATAGAATCGTACTCAAAAAATTAAAGTCCATTACGTTTTATTAAATGTGTTTCATTTCACATTTTATTTTTTATGTACACAAATTTTTATATAAGTAATATAAAACATGTATGGGTTATGTATATTTTATAGTAATAAACGTATTTTCAAAAACTGTATCTAATTTTATTTATTTCAATTATTCCGATAATTTAATCCAGAGATGTTGTTTCTTGGAACCAATTTACACCAAAGCCAGGTAAACCCAAAATATTGGGAATCAATTTACATATTATTTTTAACCCTTATAAAAATGGGAACCAATTTACATGTACCCTCGGGTGAAGCTATTCGCTTCATCTGTTCCACAGTGCATCACCCTGTATATTAATGGACACAAATTACAATATTACGGGATCCTACATCGTAGTTGGAAGTTTTAATTTATATTATTGCTATATTTTAAAAACTCATTTGTAAGTCAGTGACTACAAAATTCAGAGATTTATTAGATGTACCTACCATACAAAGCATGTTACACTAGCGTTACACGGTTTTTAAATTTTTGCGAATGCTTGAAAAGTGAAGATGTTGCTGCTGAAACGAAACACACCTAAAAAATAACGGTATGTCTTATTCAACATTCAAATCCTTTTACAACCGCGTTAAAATTAATACATTTCATCAACCTCAAATAATTAATTCTGTTTCTCTAATATTTCAAAGAAATATCTCTGGTTTACGGATGTGAATTGACTCAATTATTAAAGTGGTTTTAAGTGACACACCACGAGTGTGCACCAAGAATTTCTGGCGTAAAATGTAATTAATACTGTATAATTTTGTGGTTCGTAATAAACAAGATTCTCTCCAATTCATTCATCCGTATATAATTCAGGGTACATGGACTCATGCTCGCCAAACCAGAAAAAATAAAAGAACACATAGCGTTAAGTTTAGATACAGAGTCACCTAACTGTTGTTGGATGTTAAGATTTTGAAATTAATAGCTTCAAAGTTTGTTCGATTTTTAATCAAAGTGTACATAATCGTGAGTATTAGATGATGTAAAAGAATAATTACTAAAGAATCTGCAAAAGCAATGACAATAAAATACAAAGTTAACCAAGTCATTACAAGATTTTATTATCTTTTTATCCCCCTTCAGCGAGATATATAACATACAACTAAAAATATAAGCGATTAATATAGGTACTTTCATTTTCAGACACATTTACAGCTATTTTAAGTGATAAATTCAGAGCGTTGAACGTCTGCCTTAGGTAATTTTATGTTTATGCATTACAAAATAAATATATTAAACTATAACTCAGTGTCTTGTGAAGGTACAGTCCTGTGAGGTGCCCCTCGGGGTTTCCATATCCGTCTATTATATTTTTAATGATGTAACATCTTATTTTGTAAATATTCAGTATTTATTATTTGTTGTATAAAGTCGCTTATTTTACACTATTCAATTAATGTGTAAAAAATTGTCAAGATACGATTGCAAATTAAAATAATGCAAACTATTTTGAAATCTTTCGCAAATAACAGTTAATTTAATCAATTATATTTGAGGTTATCATAAAGTAAGGGATATACTTTAACTTATTATAACTATTTAACAAGTCAAACTAACAACAAAAAGTAAAATAAATATAATTGCTTAAGAAATGGGATTTTATTGTATCGATGTAAAACAAAAGCGTTGTCATGACAATTGTTAACACAAGTGTCAAAACAAAATCATTCAATTTGGAGTTTCAAATTAAACCTCAAGTAAACGTAAAGTTGTAACGACTCAAACTGTAATAGCATGGATCTACAAACAAGAATTGATTTAGTTCAGTGTTATTATGAATGCGGCAGAAATTACACCACTGGATTACGAAGATTTCGCGCAATAATGGGTTTGAGAGCGGAGCCCTGTCAAATGAAAGCGTACCGCTATTTAATACAAAAATTTGAAAGAGCAGGTTCGGTAATTGACCTTCCGAGATCAGGAAGACCAGGGATTAGTGATGCTCAAGTTGTAGAGGTTCTTCATAAAAATCAGGACATAGCCCGAGGTAAATTCACTAGCAATCAGCAGTGCAAATGTGATATCCAAGCGAGTGCAAATGCCGTAAACCATGGTTCGGAAAATGTTACGCAAATTTCTAAAAATGTATCCATTTAAACTGAAAATGCTGTTTGAATTAAAGGAGGCAGATTTAGTTACTAGGTACGATTTTTCTTTGCGATTATTGGCTCAGATGGAAACTGAACCCGAATGGTTATCCCGTATTTTATGGACAGATGAGGCAGATTTTTCTCTGAATAGTGGATGGAGTCAATACTCAAAACTGTAGAATCTGGTCTGCAAAAATCCACAAGAAATCGTTCAAGAAGGTCTTCATGACAATAAAGTCACCGTTTGCGGTTTTACAGTTGATTTTATCATTCTGTATTTCTTCGAGGAAATGCAGAATGGAGAAACCGTATCTGCAACTGTTAACGGTGAACGATATTTGAAAATGTTAAAATATTATGTTATTCCACAACTGCAAAACGAGCACCACGGAATTGAAACCATGATTTTTATGCAGGATGAGGGGTAGTCCATCCTGCATTTTCTGATCAGTTAAATAATTGTTAACTAACGTTTTTCAAGATAGTGTTTTAAGCAGACATTTTGCAAATTCATAGCCACCAAGATCACCTGATCTTAACCCAGCGGACTACTGACTGTGAGGTTATTTAAAAAATGCTAGAAGACGACCAACAGCGTTACAAGAATTAAAAGACAATATTATGAAGAAAAATTGATGCAATATAACCAGAAATGTTATGAAATGCTGTGTAAAATTTAGAGGAACGGTTGCTGAGTTTACAAGATCAAAATGGAGGTCATATTGAATATTTACGGTAACTGGGTTTGGGCATACAAAATCCTATTATTTAAACAATTAAATATCGGTTAGTTTAGTTAATTACTTAATTTGTTAAAAAAATTATAATGAGTTAAAATATATCCCTTACTTTATGATAACCTTGCATATCACAAATTTAATATAAACGGTCTTAGGGGTCTATTCTGTAACGTTTTAGTAAATTGTAACGGCCAGGTTAAAAGGTATTTATAACTATGACATTTAAATTTTAATCCAAATCTCTATTCAATATTCCATCAATTTTTGTGCTATAACATAACTAATCCTATTTAAAATAGACATGGCAACGATGTAATATACCTAAAAAGTGAATTGAAAGTAAGCTCAACGTAGTATTAAAAATTTGAAAAAGAATATATTTGACATAGATTTATCAGTGACACAAGTTATAATTTTAACCAAATAATACAGAATACAAAATTAAAAATAACATCTAGTGTTAATTTTAACCAAATTTTGCAGAATAGACCCCCAATATGCACAGGAAGAACACGAGCTTTGCTTGTAGAGAATAAATTCATTATATGTAGAGAGCTTGGAATTTCTTCCTATCAGCTAGTACATTTTTCTGTATTTAATTTTATTTCTTCTCGTTTTTTTACATGAACTCTCCAGCAGAGCCTAGCGTCTATTCTCGATTCAAGTTAAGTGATACGCCCTCTGGAGGAAATTTGTAGAAGGTGCCTGTTAGCAGGATATTGTTCAGCGTTGCCAGGAGTAGCGAAATTTCGCTAATTCGTCGAATTTTTAGCCCTTCAAAAAGTGAATAAGACCTTTTTTTAAGTAGCAAAATTTGTGTCTAGTAATATATATTCATATTTTATATTTATTTGAGAATTTTTTTATAAAACCGATTTATATTATTGATTTTTTTTTTAAATTTCAGTTCATTTATCAGTTTTGTTTTAAAATCAGTTCATCATTTGGCAACATTGGTTCATGTTCACTGATTATATTTTAATTTGTATAAATTATAATTTGAAGTTTTTCTTACTTGTGAGCTTAAAATGTGTTTATTTGCGAAAAAGCCCCCAACTAATTTCAATCTAGTTTCTTACCTGCCTTGACAGCTGTCATAAAAATCAGTGATTTAGAATAATTTCGATAAAATTAAGCCCACTATTTTTCGCTTTTCTCTAGTACTATATAATTGTGTGATATTGATAAAATATTATCTACCTCAACCACATCTTACTAGAGCATAGGGATGTTAAAATGTTTGACATCAAATCTGCGATTAATAAATAACTGCTTCCATGTTCAACAGAAGTACACGTAATTTTTCCCTTTTCTCTAGTGCTATATAATTGTGTGATATTGCTAGAATAATATCTAGCCTTTTCATGTAAATTAACCACATTTTACTAGAGCATAGGGAAACTAAAATATTTAATAAACAGGACTATCTCCCTAACACAATATATCCCCTATAGCAGCTTACTCAAAGTGTGGTCCGCGGAGCCCTTAGGCTCCGCAAAGCCTTTGTGGGGGCTCCGCGAAGAAAATAAGCAGTACCTTTCACTACAACGGGACTTGGCTGAAGGACCTATTGTTTTTTTAGAAGAAGTATATGAGTTTTGATATTTTGGGTTAGAGGACTTTTTTTTAGAAGTCAGGAAGAGGAAGGGAGTAGTAGTATATGATTTTTTTCGGCTGGAGGACTTTTTTTTTAGATATCAGGAAGAGGAAGTAGAAGTATATGGTTTTGGTATTTTCGGTTATTTTTTAGAAGTCAAGAAGAGGAAGGCGTATATGATTTTGAGAGTTTTGTTGTAGGGGCTCCGCAAAGAAACGGGAGGGACCTGGCAAGAGGCTAGAACAAGGAGGGCTTTTTTTTCGAAATGTGTTTAGGGCTCCGTCAAATATTTCACTTTCCAAAAAGGTTCAGTCACTAAAAAAGTTTGAGAACCACTGCCCTATAGTAATGTCACTGGGATTCAAGAAATGGCTTTGTGTTACGCTGCGGCCAGACACAGAGCCACATGGCGCTAGTGTCGTTCTGAATTTTGACACGTCTGAGATCGGCACGTTCATTGGTTGAAGACGAAGTTTTTGACAAGCGAAGCTTGAAGTGTCAGTATTGACAAGTGATAATTTTTGGATTTTTTCTTCTACAAAATTTATATCGTTTATTACTATTAATTTTGTTTCACCGATATTTATTGTGTTGCATTAAGGGCTTACTTATTTAATATGGAAAGCAAAACGTACAACAAACTCAGAAAAAGAGGATTCAAGGAGAGATTGCTATGGCTGTCATCCAAGGGTCCCTGCCCTAAATAATACTTTTACAGTGGGAAAAGCCTTTAAAATTCATGTATAACAATTTAATGTTTTCAGTTTTCCCTTCTTTTAATGTAGTGCCTCTTTTGACGTAAGTTTGTAATAATTTTTCATATTTTTTAGTTAATACCCTCTAATATTATAATATAACTAAGATCTTATGCATTCCTATGGACACGATTCAAGGAGGGAGTCCTATGGCTGTCATCCAAGCTCTAGATAATAGTTTTCCAGTGGCAACAGCTTTTTAAATTCAAGTATGACAATTTTCTGTATCAGTTTTTCTCCTTTTTCGAAGTAAGGGTCCATTTAAAATAAAAAAATTTATTTCACTTGTTGATTTTAGCATTTATATACAGTATCGGCTATTGAATACTTTCCAATACGCTTGGCTAGCATCGAAGCGAAAGCTAAAGAGTTAGCATTAGTGCGATCTCGCACTAATGCTAACTCTTTGTAGCTTCCACTTGGACATTAGCAAAACGTATTGTAAAACATTCGATAGCCGACACTGTATTATCACAAACATCTCTTGATAACTAAATGATTTCAATTAATATAGTGTCTTTTTTTAGTAAAATGGATATGGCTGAGTTATCCTCGACTTTAAAATAAATTAACTAAGTTTCATAATTTTTCAAATAAAATATTTTATACATTTTTTTTTACCAGAGCCATTTTCTTTTTCAGATCTAACCTCTATAGGTAAAAAATAAGTGATTTAGGTAATATTGAAAAGTGTTCTTTTAAATGTGTTGTTAATCCAAACGCTGCTCTTATTGTAATAGCTAACAATAAAAGAATTCGTATTAATAAAAATAGCGCCTGGATTTACAGCTCGTTTAATGGAACATGCAATAGACTTCTCAATTATTGCCGAATGTATATATTTAAAAATTCCCGCCATTCTGCTACTGGAAATTACGATTTTGGCGGGAAATTTAAATTTCGCCTTAAAATTATATTTGAATTTACCGCCATATCGAGTTAGTTGAGCGGCCAGACGCATACGCATTTAGCGCTGCAAACTTAGTGCCATCTTTTTAACAAGTGAGATGCACTACTACAGGGGATATATTGTGCTCCCTAGACCAAATATCGGCGACTATTTCTCTAGAGAAATAGTCAATATTTGGTCTAGTAAAATAGTCGTCCCAAATATAACACGACCTTGATTAATATTCTGCTATTTTTGTTGTTGCTAAATTTCTCAAACATTTTACAATTTGATTCTACATAATTTTGGCATTGATAATCAATTAATTAAAGCCCTTGAGCTAAAGCTCTCGGGCTCTAATCAGATTATTAATGCCAAACATTATGTCTCAACAAATTGATATTAAAATATTTTCGAGATTCAGATTCAATAAAAATAGCCGACTATTATCAAGGTCTTGGTATATTACCCTTGACTATACACCTTGTTTTGAAATTGGTCAGGCAAACTGGTCTACATCATTCAACAACCTACTATGATACATCTAATAAATATGTATGTGTTTAACTAGCACCTGTCACGATTTAATTTTTCTGTCAAAGAGCAGGTACCACTTTGGATTTTAGATGGTTTTGTCATAAAATTTCTCACTGAATACCCCACGTGCCAAAATTAATTTCAGGAAATTTTTAGCACTAGGGATATTATAAGTGATAATTAAATCAAAACCAGGAGCTTTTTTCGGAAAAATGTTGTTTTTTATTTCATCAGTCTTCCTTTGGAGAAGTGGGCCTAATGATGATATTTTTTGAAACTGGTTCAATCCAGTCATGATGTTCTTCTTCATCGTTTGGCTATAATGTCATCTCTAAATACTCTGCAAACCTCCTGGCCTCTTGGTAATTGTTACGTGCTCAGATTTTGCCTGTATTTCTAATTGGGCCTTTTAATTTCTCTTAATAGCTTTCCAGAGTGATTATAATTTTTTGTTATTAGTTAGTTCACTCAGGTATTCACCAAATGACT